GATTAAATCCTCGAGCAATTCAAGCAAAAAAGGCTAGCTTTTAAAAAGCTCAGAACATGTTATTTCAGTGAACAGGCTCCTACATGCCACTGTTAATTCTTCTCATTATTTTGCTGTAACAATTAGCACATGATATTGCATAACAACATCAAACACGTAGTTGGTCAGGTTCCTAAGAGTGTTGAAATTTCCCAGCATTGCTTCCCATGACATGTAGCAAGGAGGCTTTAAAAAGAGTTTCAATCTTGCATGTGTTGTCCTAGGAAGAGGAAAACAAGTCAAAGAGCCCATTGGGTAGGTCTGACCTTCAGCTTATTTTGTTCTCTGGTTTTCTGAATATATTGTTCGTTTATGTGATTACTATGGTATGTGCAGTGCTAGCTTACATAAGGTCATTTTGATAAATAAAAAAACAAGAAGACATTAAAAAGAAAATAATAATTTTGGTTTTCCATTTTCTACCTTCCACTTCCAGGTAGAACTCAGTTTCTTTTTTCCATCAGTCATTTTTCTCTCCTTTCTTGGGAAGACATTGGACGAATGTCTTGAATAGCAGCATTTTAAAAAGTGGGGAGGAATCAATCCATCAAATAAAATGCTGTAGATAAGATCCAACCCAGGAAAGGGGCCTAAGAGAGACTCTTAATTCCTCAAGGAGAAATGCTGGTTAGGCTTCTGAAGTTCCTATTGACAGGCAGCCTTCTAATAACCAGAATGTTGAGACCTGAGAGCAAAAAGAAGGAAGATAATATTTTGAGAAAAGAAAAGTCAGAGCTGAAAATGGCAAATTTGATATGTTTGAGAAGGAGAAAGAAAAGAGGTCAAGAAAACAGCGTTTAACTGTAGAGACATGTAAAAAGAAGGGATTTTATTTGGATTGAGATGGGAACAGAAGGGATCATTTCCTGTGGGATTAAAAAAATGAAGCATTTTAAAAAAAATGGGAATGGAACAGTTCAGGAGGACGTTATGCCATGATCAAAGTTAATAAAGTTTTCAGGGTTAGGTTTTAAGAAAATGATCCACAACACCATTGGATAAGCAAGCACCTAACATAACATACATGCCCACTTTAAACCACCCCAAAATACTAAGGCAGTAGTTTGTCCACCTGAAGGATAAAACACACAGACACAAACTAACCAATGTGATATGTGCAGTGAGACGTGCAGACCTTGGAGAAACAAAACAACCACTTCATGGACACATGGCATAACATAGGAGAAGAAATCCATCAGGACAAGATTCTGCAGTCCATCTATCTGCATTTGAAAAACGAATGTCACTTGAAAACAGCAAAGTTCACATTCTGGACAGAGAGGACCTCTAGAATGAAAGAGGGGCCAAAGAGGCCATCTACATAAAAATTGAACAGCTCTGTCTGAACAGAGGGGAAGGAACACGATATCACTTATCTTCTGTTTACAACACAGTCCTTTCATCAATTCCAAGAAGATTCCATATCCATTTGCAGTATTCAGATGACCCTCAGAGCACAGATGAACCTTCAAGTGGCCTCAGCAACTCTCAAAGAGAGTGCTAATGACTAGATGACTGCAAGGAATATAAAGCCTTCCATTCTCCACCATTCAGTCAGAACTGAAGAAGCTTCTTGGATGAGATGTAAAATATCTTCAAGGAAAAAACAAAGAAAAAGCACTTTTGGGACAACTATGATCTGGATGGCTGAGAATCTGCAGACACTCAACAAACTTTACCTTTTGCATCCAGGTGGAAGACTCCATGGCATCACATTTATTGGAAAAAAAACAGCAACTGGGCAGAAAAAATTACATAGAGCTCCTTGGGTCAGTCCAATTCCCAAAAAAAACAGGGAAGGGCAGTCCAGATTTCTCTGGAAGAGAAGTGGGAAAAAGGCCTACACTTGGTGGTTTCCATGTGGAAAATGGAATTACCTTTTTTATTGATGTACTGAATTATTCATAATAGTTGCTCTAATCTGGAACCAAATCTGTTGTGTGAGGATCTCTATTACATTTCCTGCAGTGCACAGCAAAAGCAAGTTGAAGTTCTTGTTTAATTAACATTTCAGCTTGAGTTCTCAAATTTGCTAGCACTGACTTTTCCTAAGCTGTCTAAAGTGCAAGATGGTCATATTTTGACCATGAGTGCAAAAAAAAGAGTAAAAACAAAAAGTTGGTATTCTTTAAAACAGTAAAAAAATGCAGTATTGTGTTTTTCATTTTTTTTGAGATCATCATATTTACCAACAGTGCAAAATCAAACCACCTTGTTTATTCTGTGAAAAAAATTCTGGTAAGACTAACTCAAGAGAGCCTGTAGGCAAAAAAAACTTTTTGAATAATGCATTCCCTGAAGAATATTTATTTGAGATTTGAAATAGTAATAATTCATAATTCCTAAGATAGTGGTGATTGTTTAAATACAAAATTCTTTAAAATATAATCCTCACTTTGCTTATATTTTAAAAATCTCAGAACAATTAATGTTAGGGAAACCTATTCTTTGTGCATATATTAAAGGCAATTATGTAATGTTTTTACACAACCTCAATGTTCCAATGTTCTCTTTGATGTGCATTGAAATAAAGTTGAATGTTGCTGGGATTCATTTTATTAACAATAGATTTCATATATCCAATAGTATTTTAAAAATCTTTCAATTGCTTCCTTAGAGTGTATGAGAGTGTGAATGCAGTATCTGTTGACCACTCATTAAAGTAATCACATCTGTTTCCAGGATCACCTGGCTGCTTTAATGAGTGGCCAACAGATACTGCATTCACATTCTTGTAGGCTCTTTATTTTTATTTAGCATATGGGAAAATAGGGACTTAAACTGGTTCAAATGTTAATGTCCAGTCCACCCAGCCATTCAAGGACAGGGTGGTCTATGTTGAAAAAATGAGATATTGGGTCGGTGTAAGTTCTTGATGAACATTCGGATACAATGTGATGGATATTTTGTTGAGGAGCACCACAATCATATTGAGGGGTAGAGACAAGACTATCGTAGGCTCTGAAATAGCTTTTCAGAACTCAACTTTGAAGCATTTCACAGTTCTAATATTTAAATCATACAAGAAGAAGATTATTGATTTGCAAGAGGAAAAGACAGCAAACTACAAGTACTTCAGATTTCCAACCTGTTATTAAGGCTAGGAAATACTGTAGTTATATTGGGAAAGCCAGGCAGAATCTACTGGATGTGATAGGATAAATTCCTAATAAGTGAGATGTTTTTGCAAATTATGTATTGCTTTTCCTTATTTTAGAGGGAAGTAGCCTGCAATTTTTTTTAAAAAAGTATCCTGAAAGAGGATAACAACATTCTTTCTCCTGGTTCTTCTGAATGGTAATAGCTTTCCAGTGCTGAGAACCAAATGTAAGTATCATATAATCACATCAAGTTTTGGTGATTGCTATTGCATCAAATTTGTTTTCCATTTCTAATCCTCCCTGTTTATTTCCCACACTGTTCTAAATTACAGTACAAGCACCTGAAGTGTTCATCTCCTGGCATCTCTATTAAAGTGTCTTGCCAAACTGCATTTTTATCATTTTTTTCATCATTGCAGTTTGTTCCAAATATCTGTGAACAAAGACATTTATGTTTTTGTGTGCCCATTGAACAGTAATCAGTACAGGTCTTAAGGCAGTCTGTGCTCTGTTTTAACGTACCAAAAATGGAATAAACCTTCTCTGGTTACTCTTTGTGTTGTTGGCCATACTCTTGTCATGGTTTCTCCCTTGGCCTGTACATAATATAAATGCTGTGGTGATTATTACAGATATTGCCCAGAAGGCAAATGGGTTAGGCCTGTGAATTCCTCTATCAAGAGTCTGTGTGGTGTGGATTATGTGATTTCTAGTTATGTGATTTCTGCTAGACAATAACTTGTATATTTCATTTTAGTCCTTTTTTGGATTTGTTTTCTGTATTTCATTTGTTATATTTACAACTTGTTTTTATTCATAATTTTGAAACATCTAACAGAAATAAAGTTACAATAATAAAGCAACTGATAATATGCAGCATCTTACATGAGAGCAAAATAGCTTTTATGTCTTATTCATTCATTTATGAAATTTATTTATTTATGAAACACCCAAAAGACCAGAAACAATGGCAAACAATGACAGAAAAGTGCAATGTCATATTTTAATTAAACACTAGGGTAAATATGATTCTTTCATTTCATTTTAATATTTTATTTGCAATATTTTAATCGTATTATTACAATATTATTTTTTTCATACAAATATCTGTACGATTCCTTGATTCACAAGACTGGTACTTTAAGCGTTATTAGGTTTTCAGCACAAATTCTATAGTGCTGAAATTACAAAAAAGGGCTTGTTCTTGCTTGAGGAATTCTGAGTTATCTGTGTTAATATTAATATTAAATCTCATCATTCACAATATACATGAGATTAAATTGGTAAAGACTGTGGTAAACAAATAATTCCTAGTTAATTATGAGTGCTCCTACTTAGCCCTTACCAGCAATTCAAATGGCTACATGGCATGTACTATACATGTATGTATATGAGGCGAGAGTCAGTTTGGTCTAGTTGTTAAGGCACCGTACTAGAAGCTAGGAGACCATGACTTCTAATCCTGCTTTAGTCATGAAAGCCAGCTGGGTGACCTTGGGCTAGTCACTGTCTCTCAGTCCAATTCATCTCACAGGGCTATTGTTGTTATGGGAGAAATAGGAGGAGGGAGGAATATTAGATACATTTGCTTCTTTGAGTTGTTTATAAAAATAATAAAGGTGGGATATAAATAAAATAAATAAATAATGTACTAATAGACAGTGGATAATTGAAAGTATACTCCAAAATCTTAGTAGATTGTTCCTTGCATATAGGATATGTTTCAATCCCATTTCAAATAATCCTGTAATATTACTGAACATCATGCTCAGATTAAAATTATATAAACCTTGTTCTTAAAAGTGGAAAAAGGTTATTTGCTCCTTTTGGGGTGGCAGGGGGGAAATTAGTCTTTTCTCTGATGAAAATGTTTTTTAATCCACTGTTTCTGATTATGACTTTGTAGTCATGATGTTGCTTGAACTGATAATGGCTGCTGTTTTGGGGACCATTATCTACTTGTTCCTAACTAAGACAAAGGAGAAAGTTCTACCTATAGGAGATGGATGGTGGGCTGCAGGAGAGAAGCCTGACTCTGAAGAAGATACAGTGATACGTCCTTTTAAAGTGGTCACCTCAGAGGAGGAGATCCAGGTGAGAAACTCATATTGAAGTACAGCAGAACATGCTGGGCTAGTTGTACAGATCTGCCCATGCTTTCTGAGAGATAATGCAATAATAGCACTTCTACTCAAATTCTTGTTAGAATTGCAGGCAAAACATTAAAGTACTTGTAAAGTATTTCAGATTAACCTCACTGTTACCTTTTGACTTTAATTTGAATAACTGATATAAGAAACATAGAAAGTTGCTGTCCTCGTAGAAAAAAAGATGATACTATGCAAGACTCTGTTTAATAGCAATAGCATTTGGACTTATATACCGCTTCACAGTGCTATACAGCCCTCTCTAAGCAATTTACAGAGTCAGCATATCTGGGTCCTCATTTTACAATCTGGGTCCTCATTTTACCGACCTTGGAATGATGGAAGGCTGAGTCAACCTTGAGCCAGTAAGAATTGAACTGCCAAACTGCTGGCAACTGGCAGTCAGCAAAATTAGCCTGCAATACTGCATTTTAACTGCTGTGCCACCATGGCTCTTAATCTATAGAAAATGGGAGACCGCATAGGCTCTGCTGAATGGGAAGAGAAAGAAATGTTAAAGGAAGCATGCAGTGGAGAGGCATCAATGAAGGAGGCAATGCCCCCACCGTAACTCTTTATAGAAGACATTCCTTCTGAGCCAAAAGAAGGAATGATTTTCATTTCTAAAAATATTACTTGCCACATGGCATATGTTAATCAACAGATTTCATGATGCTCTTTTCATTCTCAGACACATTGTATAAAGCATTTAATATACCATTAGAAAAAAATAATTCCCCAACCATAATATCTCTGTTGTACTTCACTGTATTCCTTTTCCATGTTTTATATATAGCTTACCTGATATATTTACTTAACTTTATTGCAATCATTAACAGGACATTACATGATATCCAAGTGTGCTTTTTTATTTTATTTTATTTTTCCTGTACATACTTTGTTGGTGTTCTAGGATCTACATCAAAGACTTGACAAAGCTAGATTTGCAGACCCATTGGAGGACAGTTATTTTCATTATGGGTTTAATGCAACTTACCTTAAAAAAATTGTCTCTTATTGGAGAAATGAATTCAACTGGAAGAAACAAGTGGAAATTCTCAATCAATTCCCACAATTCAAAACAAAGATTGAAGGTTTGCCACTAATAATTACTATAGTATATCTGATCTGAGTATTTTAAGCCATTTGTTTTCTTAGCATCCATGCCTGAAGTTTGCCATACCCTGTTTGCCAGTCAATGCACTCTGGTACTTCCTTTTAGTTATGAGTGAACACAACAGTTAGATAGAGTCTTAACACAAAACTTTATTATATTTCATACTTTTTCCCAATACTTCCTCTTGTTCTCTCAATTGTCAACATTCCCTTCTTTGTTATCTTTCCTTTTTCTGTGCCAAGGACATGGAGAGAACAAGATGGAGTAACCGGGATAGCCATGGATATCGACACGTCCTTGAAAAAGGACGTAGTCACCTGTGAATGTTGTTTATGCTCATCATGGAACTAAGTGCGGCCAACTGGCTATCTGAAACAATGGCCTGGATGTATGTGGTGAATGGAGCCAATCAATTTGTCTCTTTGCAGATTGGGAGGGTTGAGAACTCTTTCTCTGAGCTTCCTGGCAACTCTTACATGATCCCTTTTTGGATGGTGGGGGAACTAAATTGAACTTGGTTTAAGATGGTGGTGGGGGAGGTATTTCTGCCTAGTCATCGCCATGCTAATCAGGCAGTTTCTGTGTTGTTTCTCTTGCACAAAGGGATACTTCCAACCACATGGCTCTTTTCCTGCACATAAGTTCAGATCAAATCTCTTCTTCAGAACATCCCCAATAAACATATATAAGGGAGATATGTTTATTTTAATGTTTTTGAACATCAACTCAGAGGGATATCCCCAACTCCCCCTTTTTGCTGGAGTCGGAAAATTTGGATTACTTTTAAAAATAAGGCCAAAGCAACTCAAACCATCTTTTTGCTCTCCAGCAACCTTTGAGAGTGAGAGGCCATTGCTTCAGGCTGCAGCGATTTTCCTTTTTTGAGAATACAGATACTAATTTGAAATCCACAGGGCACAACCCAGCTCTCTATTGCCTCTCATAAAATTATATTATGTTGACCTACCTATTTAGCTATTTTCTGAAGATTTTGTGTCTTATGTTTTCCTCCTGTAGGAATTGATGTCCATTTTCTTCATATAAAACCCCTGCACTTGTCTGAAGGGCAGTCTGCTAAACCTTTATTGATGATCCATGGGTGGCCTGGCTCAGTGTATGAACTGTACAAAATTATCCCTCTTTTGACTGACCCTGCAAACCATGGCCTGAATGGTGACCATGTTTTTGAGATGATTTGTCCTTCCATCCCCGGCTTTGGCTTCTCAGAGGCTCCTCACAAAAAAGGTATCTGGTTCTGTGGGGGAGGAGGGGGAAGGTAAAAATGAAAGGTCCGAGGTACAGATAGTCTTCAACTTATGACCACAATTGAGCCCAAAATTTTTGTTACTAAGTGACACATTTGTTAAGTGAGTTTTGCCTCATTTTACGACCTTTCTTGCCACAGTTCAGTGAATCACTGGACTTGTTAAATTAAATTATTAATAACACAGTTGTTAAGTGAATCTAGATTTCTCCATTGACTTTTCTTGTCAGAAGGTCACAAACGGTGGTCGCATGACCCTGCGACACTGCAATTGTCACGAGTCACTTGCCAAGCATCTGAATTTTGATCATGTGACTATGGGGATGCTGTAATGGTTGTAAACATGAAAAACAGTCCTAAGTCACTTTTTTCAGTGATGTAACTTCAAGTCAAGGACTACCTGTATTCTAGTCAGCCTTGTAGTGTGATTTGAAATACTGTATTGGTAATTGTGATCTCATAATTTTGGTAAAATATTTGCTAGGACAAATGTTAACAATCTTAAATATGAATGAAAGAAGAAAGGACTGCTTATATTTGAATTTAGAAAAAAAATATCTTACTTGTTTTTTCCTTGTTTTTTCCTAGGCTTTAATCCTATGTGTGCTGCCCGTGTCTTCTATAAGTTAATGCTCAAATTGGGCTTTCAAAAATTCTACGTTCAGGGAGGGGACTATGGGTCTGTGATATGCACAAACCTGGCTCAGATTGCTCCGTGGTGAGATTTTGTCTTCCTAACAGTTACATTCAAATCAGATTTATCTAAGCAGTGCATAAACACAGAGTGTCTTTTTATTCTGCTTTAGACTGTATCATTCTACTATAGACAAATTCATTTTACAGAGCCCTGCTGGCAAGATTATTAGTCAACAAGACATTTCAATTTATTTTTCTTGTTAAAAACGAGTATGAAAAAAAAGGTCTTACCAGATCAAATTTTGGATCATGAAATGTAAAATGCCACATTTCTTGGATTATTACTACAGAAGTAGCACTGGATTAATTATTGGAATCTTTCACAAATTACACTTTGTATCTTACTGAATAAGTTTATGGAAAGTTCTCTCCTCTTTTCTTTTCTCATTAATAGCTGTTCTTAAAATTATTCTTAATATGTTATTTCTTATAGTATATTTTAGTATATATTTATATTATATTTAAGTTATTTCCATCTAAATGGTATTTGATGTTGCAGTACTATACTCATGCTGCACTATAAACAGTTATATTCAGAGGCCGCATTCACAAGCAATTAATTTTCTGCCTCCCGAAGGTAATTCAGAATAAAAAAAGCTAACCCTCCCAATTCATTGTAAGCTTGTCCTCAACTGTTGACCATAATGGAGCCTGACTATTATAGTCAAAAGTCATGAGGGTCATTAAGTGAAGCACCCACATGATTACCTCAACTTATGACCCCGCCTTCCTTGCTCTTCTCAATGTGGTTGTTAAACAAGCAGGTCATTAAGCCCTAGGAACTCTGGGGAAGTTCCTGGGAGGCCTAATGCAGATTCTGCCTCAAAGACCTCCCATACTCCCTGAGATAGCCCGTGCTCTGCTTCTCATCACTTGGGGTCCCCACAGGCCTTGGGCCTTCTTCCCATCCCATGGGGGGCTCTGTGTGGTATGCTACCAGTTTGGCCCAGTCAAAAATTGCTACCGGTTCAGCTGAACCGGTAGCTAAAAAAGCCTCCAATGATCAGCTGAGAGATCGAAAAGAGGAGAAAAAAGAGAAAAGCACAGGATCGGCCCTCCCACTCACCCCTGTGCTTTTCTCTTCTTTATCCTCTCAGCTGATTGATGCTTCAGGCCTCAGCTGGTGTATGGAAACTTGCACATGCGCGTTAGGTGCGCACATGCGCAATCACCAAACCGGTAGTGGAACAGGTAGGATCCCACCGCTGGGGGCACTGCACCTTCCTCCTCACCCTGCATCACCGATTGTGCACTTACCTTTTCAAGATCTCTGGAGGCTGGGTTAGGAAAGGAGAGCAAGTCACTCTGTTCCTCGGGCACATGGTGCAATCCCAAAAGTGGCTGCCATTTTCATAGCAGCTTCATTGAATTGTGGGCACTCCAAAAGTAGCAGCTGCTTCTGGGATCATGCCATGTATCCCAGGAATGAAGGGACTTACTCTGCTTCCTTAAAGTGAGCCTCCAAGAAGTTCCAGAACTCTGAAAACCACTGTGGATTTTTCCAGAGCTCATGTTAGGGAAACAGAGGAGGCCTCTCCATTCCTGGGCTGCCATTTTCAAAACAACCACAATTCAATGCTGTGACTGGTCTTAAGTCAAGGATTATCTGTATGTTAAAAAAGAACCAAAGAAATATTAGCTCCTTTATTGTCTTCTCTTCCTTTATGACCATGGAGAATGTCTAATGGCATTGTATTTTTAATATCCTTTAACAAGGTGCTCAGTGCACTTTGTTAATGCTGACTTCCAAAACCTTGACTGTCAGTGATTGTATAAAGACAAGAATACACCGAGGACATAATTTGTCAGATGTTGCAAGGGATGTGGCCAATAATGAGAACAGAAACCAAAATATCTGTGGCGCGTCTTACCTCATCCCCCATCTTAACACTCTAGAACAGGGGTCCCCAACCACCGGGCCGTGGACCGGTCCCGGTCTGTGGAACATTTTCTACCAGGCCGCCGGTTTGCTGGGCGCCGCCATCTTGTTTTGATGAGAAAGTGCTTCCGGTGAGCTTTTCCGGTTGGAAAGCGGCGTTTGGGTCCTGAAGGAATCCTTGCGCCTTAGTTTCATTGAAGGGGGGGGGTGGCTTCGAACAAAACTAAGGCGTGAGGATTCTTTCAGCACCCAAGGCAAGGCGAGCCGAGCGACCGTCCCGAAGCCGTCCCGAAGCCCATCGACAAAGGTACAAAGGAGGAGTTGAAGGTGGCGGGGAGAAGCGGGGGACGGCTGGCTGGCCGGTCGCTCGGCTCGCCTTGCCATGCGTGCTGATGCCGGTACCGGGCCGTGGATGATTTTGTGATGCCGGTACCGGGCCGCGGATCATTTTGTGATGCCGGTACTGGGCCGTGGCACAAAAAAGGTTGGGGGCCACTGCTCTAGAAGACAGCTGGCAGCTCAAGAGGTCCCTGCAGAGTTAGAAAGCCTCTTTTCTCTGGGATATATTTTTGATTAAAGGGAAGAGTTGTCCATAGAGGCATTGACCTATCAATGGACATGGTCTGGGAAAAATAATTGTTAAGAACAATAATGGCCTGCCAATGAACTGAACATCTGATTTCTTAAATTGAACTAGTCTTTCCAAGTCATCACTTTAAGCTTTTGAATTGCAGGGGCCATCTTCTTTAGACAATGGACATGCTATGTAGGGTTGATAGATATTGTAACTCATCACATCTGGAGGTACCAGTCTAGAGAAGGGTGTCTGAGAGTCACACGAGTATGTCCCCAAAACTTCAGTTGTGGAAGATTTATTTTATATCTGTAATATCCCAAAGAAGCAAGTGTGCCATTTTTACTCTGAGTAATAAGACATAAATATATGAATTTGAACAAATCACAATGTTATTGTTAAAGTGCCTGCCTTCTTTCTAACAATTGTTCTAGCCATGTGAAAGGCATTCACATAAATTTAGTATACGTGAGCACTCTCGGCTTCAAGCGGCTACTCTCCATTCTGTTGGGACAATATTTCCCAGGACTATTTGGCTTCCAGGCAGAAGATATTCAACGGCTCTTTCCTTTCAAAAGAAAGGTGCTCCACAGAATTTTTCTGGAGACTGGCTATCTCCACCTTCAAGCTACAAAGCCAGACACTGTAGGTAAGAGAAGCTTTTGCTTTGAGCATTACATGTGTTTGTTTTTGCAGATAAGTCTTTATACAATCAGGAAATGCACCTTTGTTACTTTAGATACAGTTAGGTGGTAGGATCTAATCTAGCCAATCTTGACTGAACCAAAAAAACTAAACAGGATCAAAGCTAGTTAGAAGGGAGGTGAAATCCCAGGTGTGTAGTTTAGACTGAGAGGTTAAAAAAACAACGGAGAAAACAGAAAATAATTTATGTATATTTGCCAAAAGTCAAAGTTGATTCAAAAGGAGACTTGATGTTACTGTGTTGCTTGCTATATGTTTTCCTAAGCAGCAAGAAGTCTTCAGGAAATTGTTACTCGAACTTAGTTTTCTTGTAGTGAAGTAGTAGCCCTGGAGTCCTAAATGTTTCTGGCAAATATGTGAATGAAGATGAAGGCTCACAACGTTAGCGTTGATCAGAAGCAGAAATCCTGTGTGGCCCTATATGATCAGTCCCTTCCTTATGGGAAGCAGCACTGATTCACTGTGCTTTTAATCAAATAGAGGATTTCTATTCATTGTAATGTCTGCCTTCTTGTACAGGTACCGGTAGTTCTCAACTTACAACAGTTCATTTAGTGACCGTTCAAAGTTGCAACGGCACTGAAAGAGTGACTTATGACTATTTTTCACACTTATGTTATGACTACTGCAACATCCCCATGGTCATGTGATCAAAATTCAGATGATTGGCAATTGACTCATATTTAAGATTGCTGGAGTGTCCCAGGGTTATGTGATCACCTTTTGCAACCTTCTGACAAGCAAAGTTAGAACAATTAAATCAGTAGAACAACTTGCCTCCAGAAATTGTGAATACTCCAACATTAAATACTTCTATTTAAGAAGAGATTGAACCATTTGTCTGAAATGGCATAGGGTTTCCTCCCTAAGCAGGGGGTCAGACTAGAAGACCTCCAAGGTTCCTTCCAAGTCACTTATTCTATTCTATTCTATTCTACTCTACTCTACTCTACTCTACTCTACTCTACTCTACTCTACTC